GGAGGTCCCTTTGTGATAACTGAGCGCTGTATATGAAGATCAGTGGTAGAATACCCCTGGATTTAACGCTCGTATCTCACACACACACACACACACACACACACACACACGCACGCACACACAAAATAAAATGGGAAGAGAACTGGCAAAGGACTCACAATTACAAAGGACTCATAAATTCAAGGTCTGATTATCAAGAATACTGAAAATGGGCCGGGGATTTAGCTCAGTGGTTTTGCCACCTGCTGCGCAGGCACAAGGACCCAAGTTCAATCCCCAGTAACCCCCCCCGCAAAAAAAGGTACTGAAAATGAGACTCCTAGTGTCTAAAATTATAAATGGGACAATAATACTTCCACTGAAGGCTGTATGTTCACAGTGAAAATGCACCTGAAATTGACACAAAGTTTAAGGAGGGAGATCATAGGTAGATAAAGCTCAGTGGTACAGCACTTGCCTATCATGGGCAGACCCTGAACTTGATCCTCAGAAACTGGGCAAAAATATCCCAAACACACACACATTATATATACATATTTGTGTAATGTGTATGTGTGTGTACGTGTGTGTGTGTGTGTTACATATATATAAAAGAAAAAAATCTATTTTAATTATTGTTTCAGTTGCATACAGCTTTTGAGAGAAAATATTCCATCTCTTAGAATCACTACTTTTGCCAGGGATTTAGCTCAGTGGTTCCAGTGCCTGTCTCGCAAGCGCAAGGTCCCAAGTTTGATCCCAGGTACCAAAAAAGAAAAAAAAAAAAGAACCACTACTTTCAAGAGCATATATGTCCCAAATACTTTTCATACAGATAATAAAATTCTCATCTGCTGGGGCTTACACCCTATAATGGTGGCTTTAAAAAAAAAAAAAAAATCACTTGGTTCCAAGAGTAACATACATTAGGGATTCTCAATTTTCGTATATTGTGAAGTGGTCCAAAACATGTATTCCATATTTTTTCATGGTAATGGGGAACTCAGTTCCTTCACTCTGAGCTGCACACCCCAGGCCTTTTTAGTTTTTGAGACAAGATCTCACTAAGTCACTAAGTTGCCCAGGCTAGGCTCGAACTTGCGATTTTCCTGGCTCAGCTTCCCGAAGTGCTGGGATTACAGGCATGCACCACTGCATCAATATTTAGACAAATGACAGAGTTAACTACGATTGCTACTTTAAACAAAAATGTTTTATTTAGCACCCACTATAAGACATTTTTCCTGCCATAATTAAGTTCTTGTCTCTGTAATTCTAACCTATTCTGTCATACTGAAAAGAACGTTAATAGAATACATAATATACAATATATACACATACTATATAAACATTATATATAAAATTGTTATTTGGGCTAATCATTCCTAACCAAAAACCCAGAATCTGAAACACTGATGTTTCTGAGCACTGATGTTATACAAGTGCAAAATTCTATCTGTGAACCTCATTTAACAGGTCAGTCAAAACACAGGTGAACTAGCTAGACGGCTATAATCCCATCTCTTGGGAGGATGAAGCAGGAGGAGCACCACAAATTCGAGGCCATCCTGGGCTACTCAGCAAGACCTTGCCTCAAAGCAAACACCACAGGTGAACTAAAACTACTGCATAAAATTACCTTCAAGTATCTATTTCAAGTATCTATGAAACATAGAGGAATGTCAGGTATTTAGACATCAGTCCCTAGTAGCAAGGTACCAGCATGCCCTGGGAAGACTCACTAAAGGTAGTGTGGAGCTTCAGTACTTCTGTGTGTGGATATAAGTCCTATCAAAAAGATATTATACATGTTCCAAAATCAGAAAAAAATGCAAAATCTGAAATACCTCTGGTCCCAAAGATTGTGGATAAGTGATACTTAAACTGTGTAATACACTTAGATAACTGGTTAAATAAAAGTAATAAAAGGTGGGCCGGGGATTTAACTCAGTGGTTCCACTGCCTGCCTCTCAAGCACAAGGACCAGAGTTCAATCCCTGGTACCAAAAAAAAAAAAAAAAAAGTAATAAAAGGCTCTGAATTCTGCAGTGAAATTTTCCAATTCTGTGACATTCCTGCTTAGAAAGAGATTACCTTCATAGTTCAATTCTTTAAAAAAAAAGGAATAAAAATGATAAAATGCCAGTATTTACACTTACTCTTTAATCCTTTTGGTTCTTTTCGGCCCTTTTCTTCCTTTTCTGAATCACACCTTTTCTGATATTTCTCTTTGGGTTCATTTTTTTTTATCTCTTTCTCCTGAAAAAAGACATGTAAGACTTTAATCATGGATAAAGACCTGATTCTGTACATTTGAAAACTGGAAAGTATACGTTTGTCACATCCATGTCTGTATGTAACATAGTACATGACCACCAATCAGTACATCTTTCCCACTGCTTTCTCAATGAAGATTATCCTCTGACTATATGATAACGTACACAGTATCAAATTCCAAACACAACACCTAGGTCCGGGGATTTAGCTCAGTGGTTCCGCCGCCTGCCCTGTAAGCGCAAGGACCTGAGTTCGATCCCCCGTACCAAGAAAAAAAAACCACAACACCTAGTTGGATATGGTGATGCACACCTATAACATCAGCAATCTGGGAGGCTGAGTCAATAGGACTGTAAGTTTGAACCCAGCCTGAGCAACTTGGTGACTTAATGAGACCTTGTACCCCCCCAAAAAACCAAAAAACAGGTTTCTAACTGTTTAACAATTATAGACTTAAGGTTTTCTTTTTCTTTTTTCGGTTTTTTTGGTTTTTTTGTTGGTACCGGAGATCGAACTCGAGTCCTTGAGTTTGCAAGACAGGCAGCGGAACCACTGAGCTAAATACCCAGCCCTCTTTCTTCAGGTTTTGAGACAAGGTCTCGCTGTGTAGTTCAGGCTGGCCTTGAACTCACTATGTAGCAGAGGCTGATCTCGAACTTGAATGGATCCTCCAATCTCAGCCTCACAAGTGTTGGGATTATAGGCAAGCACCACCATGCCCAGCAAGGCTTTCTTTCTTTGATTTGTTTGTTTTGCTTTTACTTCTATGCTGCACTAGCCTTGCCAAGCAGCAACTGCACTATGCAATAAGGACTGAGAAATTTTTGGTTTTTTGTTTTTGTTTTTTTTTGGTACCGGGGATCAAACTCAGGACCTTGTGTTTGTGAGGCAGGTGCCAGAACCACTGAGCTAAATCCCCGGCCCAGGACTGGGAAATGTTTGATGAATATAATGTCTGTTACAGTTTGCAACAGCATTTCTGTCTAGTTCTCAGTGACATAAATATGACAAAGTCTTCTGTGCTTTGTCATAAAAGGGGGGCTTTCCAGGTGACTATATTGGTGTCAAAATTAAGAATTTATGGTGTATTACTGTTGATTCACTTTGAATATATATTGCAAAAAAAAAAAAAATCAGTTTCTACGCTGACTTGAGAATTCCATTAAAAATAAAGTTACAGGGGCTGGGGATTTAGCTCAGTGGTTTCGTCGCCTGCTGTGCAAGTGCAAGGACCCGAGTTCGATCTCCAGTACCAAAAAAATAAATAAATGAAAAAGAAAAATAAAGTTACAGCTGGACATGGTGGTGCACATCTTTAACCCCAACACTCTGAGAGGCTTGAAGCTGGATTGTAAATTCAAGTACTACCTGGGTAACTTAGCCAAACCTTGTCTCAATAAAAAATAAAAAGGACTAGGAATGTATCTCAGGGTCAAGGGCCTCGGTTCAATCCTCAGTACACCAAAAATCACGCAAGATGTTACATAAAATCCCAAAAACATTTCCCTTAACTAAGAATAATTATTTTAGCTGGGCATGGTGGTCCACGCCTATAATCCCAGCACTTGGGAGGCTGAGATAGGAGGATTGCCTCAAGTTCAAGGCCACCCTGTGCGATATCACTCCCCCCTTATTCTTTCTACTTTTTAATTTACATTGCATCGATATTTTCACATGATTACATTCATGTGTATGTATAGTCTTCACTGCCATTTTCTCAAGTTTTATGTTTTCCTACCTTGACCTCCTAACATTCCAATTGCTATTACAATTTCCATTCTGATGCACCACCACACCATTTTAACCATTTTCCTCATAGCTAGACAATTTTTCAGTTTTTCACTACTGAGGATAATACTTCCACAAATAGCTTTATACAGATTGCCTCCTCCCTTTAAAATGATTCCCTTAAAGTCTCCAAACTGGGAATAAAAGATGAAAAGTGGTCCTTACAGCCCTTGATAAAAATTGTATAAAAGGCCTTTCATAACATGGAAAATATTGTCTATTTTGAAAAGTTATATAAAGATAATTTTTATAATGAGACAAACTATTAAATGTTTTATAACAACACAGGCTGTGTACTATTACTGAAGTAAAAAGTGATACTCTTAAGACAACGGGGGAAATTTCAAGTAGGATGTGAAGATGATACTGTAAGAGTTTCTACCCAATGCTACGTTATCATCTGAATATCTCTGAAACATTCTGACTTGTTAATAAATTAGCCCTTGATTTCCTAGTCATGGTTTGTCTAGAGAAAAACAAGGCAGAGACTAAGACAAGCTGGAGACACCAAGGTGGGAGGATCTTCAGCACTCAGAGCAGCCCAGGCAGTCCCAGCAGTGACTCTGCCCATGGCAACTCTCTATTAAACTGGCCATTTCCTTTCCTCCTCACTCTTTGTGAAGCTTCCTGACCGCTCTCAACCCAGCGCTAGTCTACACAGAGTCGTGTACCTCTCTAAGGTTCCCCAACTGTGCTTACCTCCTCAGCTGAGTCTGATGAGCGGAGGCCTCGCTCTTCCCCCGCTGACCTGGAACTCTTCTGTGATGGGACAGATGTCGGTGGGAACGGCTTATCTGACTCTGTGTTATTCCTGCCTCTGTCTCGATTCCTTTGCTTTTTAGGTAGAGTTTTCCTCTCTGAAAAAGCATTCTCGCTTTCTAGCTTCGTGCCCTCTTTCGGCTCTTCACTCTTCCTCAGCTTCTTTTTCCTCCTCTTGGCCTTGCTGCCAGCACCTTCATCAGCACTCCCAGTGTCATCCAGCTGTCTGTCAGAAAGCTTCTCTTGCACTGCATCCTCACCTATTTTATCTTTTGGGCTTTTAATTTTTTGTTTCTCTTCTCTGTTGTCAGATTTTAAGTCTTCACTGTTATCTTCCTGAAGAGGGGAATCATTAAGTACACTTGACTCAAACTCTAGCTGAGATTCAACATATTTCTCTTTTCTTGTTTTTCTGTTTTCTTTGGTATCTTCTCTTATTTTACCCTTTAAATCTCTTATTTCAGCCTTTTTAACTTTCTTTAATTCCTTAGTTTCTTTTATTTCATCCTTTTTGGGCTTTTTGGCATCTTTTAATTCTTCTTTGGCTTCTAAAATTCTTTTCTTTGTCCTTAAATCAAAAACCAAACTTTCAGAGGAGCTGTCCAGCTCCGATTTGGACTTATCTTTTAGTTTCCCAGTCTTTGCTTTCTTCTTTTTCAGATCATCTGGGCTTTTCTCTTCTTTCTGTCTTAATTTTTTCTTCTTCTTTCTTGGGGAAGTACCTTCTTTTGCCTCACTTTGCTGATCACTATCAGAGTTTGCCTCAAATATGTCATTGTTTAAGGACAGTTTCTATAAAATACAATGGAAGGGTAAAACACTCATTAATGTAATTTTATAATTTTTTTTTTTTGTACCAGGGATCAAACTCAGGACCTTGCACTTGTGAGGCAGGCGCAGTGCCACTGAGCTAAATCCCTGGCTCAATTTTATAGATTTTGAAAAGGAGTAAAAATAAATCTTTTAGAAAAATTTTAAAGCACATTCAACTTCTTAAAATTACCTAAATTGAAACTTTATTACCTAGATCTCTGATTTAGCAAATACTGTAGGTCATAGTTGATGCTAAGTATCAAACTTTTTTTTTTTTGGTACCAGGGATCAAACTTGGGACCTTGCACTCGCGAGGCAGGCAGCAGAACCACTGAGCTAAATCCCTGCCCCCTAAGTATCAATTTCAAAAAGCAGATAGAGGGGGTCAGGGATTTGGCTCAGGGGCACTGCACCTGCCTTGCAAGCACAAGGTTCTGAGTTCGATCCCCAGTACCAAAAAAAAAAAAAGCAGAGGAACAAAAGCCAGTCCCCTGGAGGTCTCAAAACTCCAGCTGGAATTCATGTAAGAATCTCACATACAACAAGCTGCAAATCATTTGAACTTCAAAAATCCCCAAAATAGCAAGAAAGAAATTTTAATAGACTCTGGCCAAAAATGGCAGTTACCAATCCAAAGATCAGCCCAGCCACTTTTAGGGATTGAACTCAAGGCCTTTTCACTGAACTAACTGCCCAGTACTTTTCACTTTTTTGAGACAGAGTTTTAACACTAAGTTGCTACACTGCCCAAGCTGTGCTCAAACCTGTGATCCTACCTCAGCCTCCACCAGTGGGCTGGGATTACAGGCAGAAGCCACTACAACACCTGACTGGTTTCTTAAGACTTAAAACTCCAGAATGTTCTTGAACTTGTACTGCAGTTACATAAGGAAGAAACTGTCCACAGATCTTATTTCCCCAAATGATTTGTGTCATAGAATCTGAAATATTTTCTTTGAAAATGTATCTTGCAGCCAGGCATGGCAGCGCTGCTACTAATACCATCATTCTGGGGAACTAAAGCAGTTAGATCCCAAGTTTGAGCACAGCTTGGATAACTTAATGACTTATACACTTTTTCCCTATTTTAAAATGTAAAAAAAAAAAAAAAAAAAAAATTCCGAATGAGGTATCTGTATAAATATAAAAACAGTGTGTCAAGTAACTTCAGCTCCCATTTCCCAAAACTGTTTTACCCTAAATAACTTAAGGGTGGAAAAAAAACAACAGTGTTTTCCTTATGGTGCATAAGCAGGAGATGGTGACATACACCTATATAATCCCAGCACTCTAGGAAGCCAAGGCAAGAGAATGGTAAGTTCAAGCCTAGTTTGGGCAACTTAGCCAGACCTTGTCTCAAAAAGGGGGGGGGGGGGTCACTGAGGATATAGCTCTGTGCAAAGGCTGTGGAGTCAATCCCCAGTATGGTGGTGCTGGCTTAAGTTGTTCAATCTCCATGAATCATTCCATAAAAAAGAGAGCAACTAGGGCACCAATGGTGAACTTTTTAGAATTTTCAATGATAACAAATAGCCAGCTGCAGCACGAGTGCTGTATGTTTGCCACCATGGAACTAGGGGATCCAAAAATGCCCAGAGACAATATCTCTTATAAGACTAAGTGATTGGGGTAGGGTTGTAGCTTAGTGGGAAAGCAATTGCTTAGCATGTGTGAAACCCTGGATTCGATCCCCAACAGGAGAAAAAAGAAAATTAAGTATCTAAGAGAACACCAAAATAGTGTTCAATAGGGACAAACCATTAAGACATGTGTAGTATAGACACCTACACAGGAAACTCAATCATTCTGAAGAGGAAGGGAAGGTAGCAAACACTGGAAAATTTTAGTGAGAAAAATTACCAGCAAGCCTGGATGTCTCAAGAAGAGCAGCTGGTTCAGAAAGAGCTGCACACACGTGTGTGAATGGGCAGTGCAAGTATGTCCTGTAACCATGAACTCCCACAAGTAACCAGAGCCACAAAACAACAAGGGCTGGGGTTACTGCTCAGTGGTAGAGCACTTATCTGAAATGTGTGGGAACGTGGGTTCAATCCCCTGCTATGTCAGCAACATGAGAGTAAGCTCCTCCCTCCACCTACACATAAAAGCCATGATGAGAAGAAACTGCTATGAGTACATTCCAAATAAAATAGAAAAGGAAAATAGAAACAGAAGAGAAGATGGTGAGGGTAGGGTAGGATAGAGCCTAAAAACCTCACAAAGATGCTTTTGAACCCTTCCAAAACATAGTAAAGGATGAAAACAAGCAAGCCAGATGCAGTGGCATATGCCTGGAAACACAGCACATAGGTAGCTGAGGAAGGAGGATCTCTGGGAGTTAGGCCAGGGCTCCACTGTGAGTCTAACGCCACCCTGGACTACATAGCAAGACCCTCTCTCGAAAACATCTACATTTTCAGAGTAACATGAACCAAGCATTTAATAAAACAAGTCAGATACATGTGAATGTTTTTATGGAAAGAAATAGGGAAGGTGAGAATTACCTAATTCTAGGAAAGTGAAGTATACCTAAAACAGAAGAATTGGGAGTGGTAAAGGTTAGTTTTAATCTGAATGTATTTTTTTAAAGAGTTTCCTTTACAAAAATGGTGAAAGTACTGAGCATTTTGCTTGACAACTCAAAAACCATACTAGGGTCCTGCCACCATAGTATAAATTTTCTTTAAGACAGGGTTTTGCAGGGCCAGGGATTTAGCTAAGTGGTTCCGGCGCCTGCCTCGTAAGCACAAGGTCCCGAGTTCGATCCCCAGTACCAAAAATAAAAAAGACAGGGTTTTGCTATATATTCCAGGCTGGCCTCAAACTCACAGCAATTCTCCTGCCTCAGCTTCCCAGCGTGCTGGGATGACAGGCAAGTGCCACCATGCCCTGCCCAGAATTTTGGCCATTTTTTAAAAAATCAGGTATTCTTAAAAATGTGCTCTCTAGCCTAGGCTCTACAGACAGCCTTCCTCCCACCCTAAATGTGATTCAAACTCAAATTGAATGGAAAAAGGGTATCCACCAGTGTTCAGTCCATTATAAGCAACAATCAGTTTCTTGATTACAGAAAAATCATCACTATAGTTCTAAATTCAAGAACCTAAAAGAAAAAACTCTAAAGGAAAAAGCAAAATGTGAGCATTATTGGTTCAATATGTAAACAAAGTATAAATGAAATTTGGAAAAGGTAAATGGGCAAATCCTCACAAGATTCATAATTAAGGCATAATTAATGGTGGTGCACATCTGTAATCCCAGCACTCAAGAGGCAGCCTGAAGCTGGGCTACACAGTGAGACAGTCTCAACAGAACAAAAGAACTCATAATTAAAGTAATGCAATTATTCACGGAATCCCTGAGTCAAAGATAAAAGAATGGACAAATCCCTAAAAGCAAACTTGCACATTAGTTTAATATATCCCACTGTAGCCTACAAGCCAATCTTTTTTCTGAGCTAAGGGCTTAAATCTGACCTGAGTCCCTCTATCTTTTCATTCTTGCCTAAAACAAGAGCTACCACAAAGCAGTAAGATAGCTAAAAATAGAGTCCACAGAAAACAGGACATGGACAATTAGCCTGTGAACAATCTGAAATGGTTTAGTTTTGTGGGTTGTTTTTTTTTTTGGTGGTGGTGGTGCTGGAGATTGAACCCAGGAGTACTGTAACACTGAGCTCTTCTCCACCTTTTTACTTTTTTGAGATAGGGTCTTGTTAAAATCCTAACCTGCCCAGGCTGGGCTCCAAACTGCAATCCTCCTGCCTCAGCACCCCAAATTACTGGGATTACAGGTGTGTGCCACTATGCCCAGCTCAAAATTTGCTGCTTTAAAAAGTTATCAAAACTTCCACAAGGTCCTGAGTTCAATACCCTATACCAAAAAAAAAAATAGCTGGGGATTTAGCTCAGTAGGCCAAGGTCCCGAGTTGGATCCCCAATACCAAAAAATAAAAAAAGTTATCTAAACAAAGCCAGGCATCTGAAATGAATAGCATTTACTTCTCAGATGAAGAAGTAGCAACAGCAATTATAAAAAAAATTTTCAAAATCACTGGTCATTCGAGAGATGGCAAGTTAAAACAATGCTGAAGAGCCGGGGATTTAGAGCTCAGTGGTTCTGCCACCTATTCCACAAGCACAAGTACCTGAGTTTGAGTTCCATCCCTAGTACCAAAACAAACAAACAAAAAACAATGCTGAGATTCCATCTTGCTCCACAAAAATGGCTGCTATCAAGAAATCAATTGATAACAAATGCTGGCGGGGCTGTGGGGAAAAAGGAACCCCTCTCCTCTGTTGGTGGGAGTGTAGACTGGTGTAACCACTATAGAAATCAGCGCGGAGATTTCTCCAAACACTAAAACTAGAGGTTCCATTTGACCCAGCTATTCTTCTGGATATCTTTCCAGAACTAAATGCATCACACCACAGCAATATATGCACACCAATGTTTATAATGGTACAATTTGTAATAGCTAAATCTTGGAATCAGCCCAAATGCCCATCAACCGACAAACGGATAAAGACATGGTTTTTTTGGTGGTTTTTTTGGTACTGGGGATTGAACTCGGGTCCTTGTGCTTGTGCATCAGGCAGCGAAACCACTGAGCTAAATCCCCGGCCCAATGTGGTTTTTTATACAATGGAGTACTACTTTGCCATAAAGAAGGATGAGCTTGAAATGGATGCACCTTGAGATCATATTCTTAAATCAGACACACATGTTTAAATACCACACTGTTTCTCTGGTATGAGAAACCAAAAATGCAAGTAAGAACTAAAATGTATGCGATATTGGGAAATGGGAAGAAAATGTTCAAATGGGAAGGGAAACAAGGGAGGGGGTGGGGGAATGGAAAGAAGGGACAAGAAAAAAAAAGATAAAAAAAAATGCAAACAATGCTTTTGTATATAAGGAGAGGAAGAGAGTTGAAGGGAGATGGGGAATGGGAAAAAAGAAGAAGCAAGATATATTATGTACAGGTACAAATCCCCTATGGCAAATGTTATCTTTATGTATATCTATAATGTACCAATAAATGTTTTGCTTCAAAATAATAAAAAATAAAAATAAACCCAGGCATGGTGATGCATACCTGGAATCCCAGCACTCTGGGAGGCTGAGATAGAACAGTCTCAAGTTTGAGCCCATCCTGGGTAACTATGCAAGACCCTGTCTCAAAAAATAAAAAGGGCTAGGGGCCAGGGATTTAGCTCAGTGGTATCACCACCTGCCTCGCAAGCACAAGGTCCTGAGTTCGATCTCTGGTACCCATTCCAAAAAGTAAATACATAAAATGGGCTGGGGACATACTTCAATGAATACCCTGGGTTTAATCCCAGGTACCACCAAAAACCCCACAAACCAACACACAAAATAGTGATCTAAACAGCTGGGGATACTTGCTCAGTGGTAAAGTGCTTGCTTAACATGCGTGAGGCTCTGGGTGTGATCCCCAGTACCCCCCAGATCATTTAACTAAAGCAGCAGAAAAAGTTAAATTAATAGGTAAAGAGCACAGATAGGGATGGATGTGTGGGAGACTGAGGGAGGAGGGGCCAGGCTACACAGCAAGACTCTGTCTTAAAAAAAAAAAAAAGAGCCAGGGATTTAGCTCAGCGGTTTCGCTGCCTGCCCTGCAAGCGCAAGGACCTGAGTTTGATCCCCAGTACCACCCCCCAAAGAAAAGATTAAATATAAATATATGTATGGGGGCCAGGAATTTAGCTCAGTAGTTCTGCCGCCTGCCTCACAAGTACTAGGTCCTGAGTTCAATCCCCAGTACCAAAAATAAATAAATAAATAAGTAAATGTATGTATTGTATCTGTAATAGTAACAGTGAAGTACAGAAAAAAAAATAAAACCAAGGCAATATTCTTTAAGTACACAAAAATATTGTTAAAATTTTTTTCATTTTTGTTACTTTTTTGCAATGCTGGGATTAAACCTAGGCCTTGAGCATGCTAGGTAAGTATTCTACCAGTGAGCTACATCCCCAGCCCCACCTTACTAACATCCATGTCTTCATTTGGATCTTCAGTGTGTGTCGTTGTTATCCCCACCCCTATCCTCCGCCACTGCCACCTATGCGTTAAAGACTTGGTCCCCAGAGTGGCACTACTGGGGTGGTAGAACCTTTAGAAGCTGGGACCAGTGGGAGGTCCTTAGGGTGTGATGGAGTGTGTGAGCCCAAAGGGAATAGGATCCTGTCTCTTCATCTCTCTTCCTGGATTGAGAGGGCATAAAGTCTGGTCTGACACACAGTTTCCATCATCGCCTTCCAGGATCCCCATCAGAGGCCCAGAGGAATAGTTTTGCTCAACTTTGGACTGGAATTTATTGAACCATGACCCAAAATAAATATGTTCATTATAAGTTAAATAAGATAATTACCTCAATGATTTCATTATAGCATTAGCTGATAACACAACCTCTCAGCTGTACTTCTTTCTCAGCTACAGTTGTAGGTTGAGTACAGAGTTCAAAAATCACTGACAATAGTCTGAGAATAAATTAGCTACATGAAATTTACACTAAAGAATACTATTATTTGTGAATTGTTTACTACACATAGTTTATATCAGAAAACTTATGAGAAACTTAAATACCTAAAGCCAGAAAAAAGACACAAGGTAACACATGATACCTGAATATCCTTCTTTACTGCTTTGGCTTTGTTCTCTGCAACTTTCTTCCTAAATTCAAGAAGAACTTCTTTACAGTCCTCCAGATGAATTTCTGGCTCCCAGGTATCATCATCTGATGTATATCCTTTCCAACGAACTTTATACAGGATTCTTCCCTGTGGTATAGATTAAAAACAGACAAAGAAGATACATTACTGATTAAATTTCCTAATATACATAACTGCTGAGAATACAGGAAAAGAACTTGAAAACTTCTAAATGGACATTAGTAACACATTATAATAAAGAACGCATATTCATCTCTTGAGGCAAATGACTTTAAGACCTTAACAGCACCATTGTGGTATTTTCAAAAGCAGAAGGCTGAGGTCTTTTTCTGATGAGAAAAGAATACGTAATATTAGAAAAACAGTAAAAAAATAAGCCGGGGATGTAGCTCAGTGGTTCCGGCGCCTGCCTCGAAAGCATAAGGTCCTGAGTTTGATCCCCGGTCCCCCCGGCCCCCCAAAAAGAAAAATAATAAAAGTCACATGAAGATAACAATTTGATCTATTTCCTTTACCTACTACTTTCATTAATACACATTTAATGATTTTAAGCTATTAGGAACATAATATTGTAATAAACAAAACCTCTCCTTTGTTTACCAAACATTTTAAAAAAAAAATACTGGGGATTGAATCAGTCTTTGCACTGAGGTACATGCCAGGGTGCTGGGATTACAGGCATGTACTACCATGCCAGGTAGATTGTTTCAATTTTTTGTTTTTATAAATAAGTATGTAATAACCTTGTATCTCTCTGATTAGGTTCTTAGAATAAATTCCCCAAAAAGAGAATGAGGTTTAAAACAAAAATGTGGCCACATGAGGTTTGTCATCTTTTAAGAAGTTGCATGATGCTCCTCAGATGATCCTTCTTCAACATTCCAGAAATTGGGGCCTGGGATATAGCTCTGCAGCATAGCACCTACCTGGCAAGCGCAAGGTCCTGAGATCGATCCCTGGTAGCCCCCCCCCCAAAAACCCAGAAATAATCTATTTCCTCGGCACCCAAAATTTTCCTTTGGATTAATCAGTGAGCCAAACTCAAAGGCTGAGAGAGGGTGGTCTTCTTATCCTATTTGATCAAATATACTAAATCACAAACTTCAGTGTTGTTTACAAAAACCTCAAGTGGATCTGAGTAAACAATACAAAATGTATGGAAAACAAGTGCAACCATAATTATGCATTGCAATAGATTTCTACAGCAGTTTGGTGTTTTCCTAAAGCCTGCCCAACAGAATAACAGCTCAAGCCCCACCCACTGTTCTCAAAGGTTATAGATTATTCTTCCTAGAAGTATGTTATTAATACAAATAAAAAATCTCCTATGTTAGTACTACTTAACATCAGTGAGAATCGCATACCCTGTAATCCAGTTACTTAGGAGGCTAATGCAGAAGGATCACAATTTTAAGGCCTACCTAGACAACACAGTGAGACTCCACCTCACCAAAAATATAAAAAAATAACCAATGATACAATAAGTAGAGAATAGCCACATGCAGGCAGATTGCTATCAATTCCCATCCTTGCATGCCAACAGTTTCAAGCTCCTAAGGAACGGCTGACTTGTTTGCTAGCAGCTGTATACAGGTTTTAAATAACATTGACGAAAATATGCAATGAAAAATAATATATAAATATATGTCGTGTCTTTATTCTTCTCACAGGAAGTAAGACTTGGTGTATCCCCCAAATGACTTTAATTAGGGAAGAAGCCTGGCATGATAAAAATTCATGTAAATCCAGCATGATGGTACATGCTTGCAATTCCTTCATGCTAGGAGGATGATACAGGAGGATCACTTGAGCCCATGAGTTGGAGAACAGCCTGGGCAACATAGAGAATAGAGACTCTGTCTCCAACAAATCAGCAAACAAAACTCATCAGGAAGACTTAATAATTCTAAATAAAAACTTAAAAATATATCATGAAAACTTAAGAGGCTAATTCCCAATCAAAATTGGAGATATGGCTGGGGATTTAGCTCAGTGGTGCCACAGCCTGCCTCAAGAGTCCAAGGTCCCGTGTTTGATACTGGTACCAAAAAAAAAAAAAAAAGAACAAAATTGGAGATATAACAAATTTCTCCACATATAATGCAACAGTGAAAAAAGGATTATCAACCAGGTGTGATGATACAAACTTATGAGGCTAAGGTAAGAATTTTTTAAGTTTGAATACAGCCTGGGTAATTTAATGAGACCCTGTCTCACAAAAGTTTTAAAAAGGCCAGGTATGGTGCCACACACCTGTGATCTCAGCACTGGGAAGGCTGAGGCAGGAGCATCACCATGAGTTTGAAGCCAGCATGAACCACACAGTGAGACCATGTCTCAAAAAAAACAAAAGAAAAACAAAAACTACCTTTAAAAAATAAAAAAAGGGCTGGGAGTGTAGCTCAAGTGAGAAGGCTCTGAGTTCTCTGCAAAAAAAGAAAAAGAAAAGTTATGTGTTCATCAAGAGATATAAAATAAAATTCAACATGAATTCTTAAAAATAATTTTTAAAAAGTCAATTTACAACTGCATGCAAATATCAAATATACCCTTTCTAAAATACTAATACTAAATACTAATATACTAAATACTAAATACTAAAATACTAATACTAAAATACTAATACTAATACTAAAATGTCCCCAAAAGGATTAATTAGGGTTGAAAGCTTGATTCAAATGCAGCAATGTTTTAAGGTGGGGGCTCCAAGTGACTGGATTACGGGGCACTAACCTCATCTAGAGATTAAGCCCTGATGAGCTCACAGCTGAATGGGCTACTAGGAGGTGGACAATAGTATTACAGACAGCTAAATGAGAAATTAAGAGGAAGTCAGTGCAGCAGATGAGACATCAAGATTGTGGCTGGAGATGAATCTGGAGAGTCTGACCTCAGCATAGAGACAGGATAGCCTAGGGATAAACAGCATTTGAGACTGTATTGTAACTAGCATAGCCACATAGCTGGGTGACCAGCTGGACCCATACTCCCCTTCCTCCCAGCAGTGTCTTTGTTCTTTCCACACTAAAAGTTATAGATAAAGTTAATGATACTCCCCATGTACCCTTGCTATGAGTGCCTTGCTTCCCTCCTGGATCAATCTTAGCTGAAGGGCCGGGGATTTAGCTCAGTGGTTCCGCCGCCTGCCTTGCAATCGCCGGTACCAAAAAACAAAACAAAACAAAAACCAAATCCTAGCTGAGTCACTAGCGTTTTTACGAGGGGGGGGGGGTGTGTGTGTAAAATAATTTAATAATTTATTTTATAAAATTCTACCTTGGCTGGTGGTGTAGCTCAATGGTAAACACATGAGCAAGGGGCTAGGTTCGATCCTCAGCACCAAAAAATAAATACGTAAATAAATTATTTTTACTTTACTGCAACTGATAACAATAGTAAACACAATGGATTTCAATTATTTAACTCCCCCTAGACAGAACTTTCCAATATCAGGAACTGAATGCTTTGGTTAATCTCTATATCGGAACCAACAAGACAGATGGCACACAGTAGTTGATTTTAAAGTTTGAATGGACAGAAAAACACAAGGCAGCATGTGATAAGAGAAATAATAGACAACAAAGGAATACAACAAGGACTGATCACCGTGTGTAGTCTTCGGTCACTTCACGCCTATCCACTAGTACAGGTTATGTTTCTATTTTCCCTGCTTCGACTTTCCCCTTCAAGCCCACAATTCAGTCACTCACTTCATAATCTGATAAACACGAAGCAGTGACCGCATGGACTAAGTACCAGTGATGCAAAATTAAGAATCACATCCTCCAGGTTAAAAGTGCCCACCCAGAGCAGAAAAGGCAAACGTCTAAAGGAGGATGCTTTAGCAGACCTCAACAGAGACTTAGGCAAAATGTAATCCGGACAGAGATGAGAAACTACCTCAGGGATCAGAATCAAAAACAGGATCTCACGGGGCCGGGGATTTAGCTCAGTGGTTCCGGCGCCTGCCTCACAAGCGCAAGGTTCCGAGTTCGATCCCCGGTACCAAAAAAACCAAAACAACAAAAACAGGCGTCCAGGATGGAAGAGCAAAAGTGCCAGCCACGTAGCGAAGGGAAGTTCAAGTTTACTTTGCGGTTATAATGCAGAGTGGAGAAGAATGGTGAATTTCGGCAGGTCTGGAAGATCTTTAAAGTCCACCTTCCAGCCGGGCGTGGTGGCGCATGCCTGTAATCCCAGCACTTGGGAAGCTGAGACAGGATCACCTCGAGTTCGAGGCCGGCTGGAACTACATAGTGAATACAAGGCCAGCCTGGGAAAAAAGGAATAAATAAAACTAAAATACCACCTTCTTGTGCGACCGGGATTCTATTCTGGGATGAATGGTAATTCCTTACTGATTCGGGTCTGGGAAACGATGAAAGGTGTGTTCGGAGAAACCTGACGAGAAGCACCACTTCACCGTCACCCCTTTCCCCATTTCGAGCACCGGCCTTGCCCCTGGCCCAAGCTCCCTCACTCCCGGGCGCAGCCCGCCCACAGGCCCGCGGCCGCCCCAGGTATGGTTTCGAGGCCGCACTCACGGCCGTGTCCAGCTCCAGCGCGAGCCCCCGGCCGGCCAGAACCCCACGCTCGCCGCTTCGCCTGCCCGCGCCCTGCCACGCACCGCGTCGGTCTTCATGTCCAGGATCCGTTCCACCTCGAACACGTCCTCCCCGTCCTCCTCGCTGTCCCCCGCGGCCTCCGCGGCTTTGGTGGCCGGATCCTCTTCACCTGACGCCCCCACTCCTCCTTCGACTTCACGCGACTCGCCGTTGCTGTCGGCACCCGATTCACTCTCCGCGGTCACAACTGCCCCTTCCGCAGCCGCCGCCATCGTAGGGCCTCCGTAAATTGTCGAGGACAACAGTCGGTGAGAAACACCGCCTAGCTCGCACTTTGGCGGCGTGACGCTCTCTGAGGGAAACCAGGCAATGGCGGACTTGGGGCACTGGAGTGACACGTGCAACAACCAATCACTTAAGGAGGAGCGCTCCCGAGCTCCGCGGAACCTACGGGAAGCGGAGAGGCGGGCCGGGCCGTGGGGCGAGGGAGCGGAAGAACGCGGCCGGGGCAGGGCCGGAAGGAGTTGCTGAGGGGGGAGGGGCTGGCGCGCAGGCCTTGAAGCGGGAGGCGGCCGGGCGGAGTGTGCCTGCTCTCTGGGGAGGCCGCCCGAGGCGCCACACCTGGATTTAACGCAGGCGAAAGATCCAAACAAACAGCCTAGGGCTCTTATTTTTTTAATGTTGTTTAAAAATAAGGAAATTTAACAGACTAAAGTGTATTTGTCGAGTGCTTTTTCTTAAATTGACGGCATCAGAGAAGGGCGTGGCATTGGTCCAGGTGAGAGAATGGTTGATGAAGACAAATCACCCAGAGTTTCAAAGTACTAGGAAAAGCCACTTCAGGATAAAATATTTTTCTCACTTTGAATTTCGGATAAACAATTGAAGTCCTTGTGGCAGTGAGTTTTTTGTTTTTGCTTCTTTGCACAGTGGACTTAATTTACAATATACTGCCAAGGCTTTCAGGTTGAACCAAAGATTTCCTGATCCAGCAGATCCCTTCGGAGAGAATTACTAGGCTTAGGCTCAGTGAGTCCGTATTTGTTCAGCTTATTAAGTGCATCTGTGGTACCATGACTAGGCATTAAGAATAGGAAGACAAAGACCAATCAAGCATCGGCTGAGCCTTACTTGGTCTCTCAGTCTGTAAAATAAACAATTCCAACAATCTGACATATTTCTAATATATCTAATTATATATAGCTAACTATAAACAAATAATTAGTTAACGTGGAAAATCTCATTATTTCAGAAGAAATTTAGAAGGTAAGTGTAGAAGAAAAGCTAGACTTTTTAAAAAATCACAGTATTGGGCTGGGGATTTAGCTCAGTGGTGCTGTCGCCTGCCTCGCAAGCACAAGATCCTGAGTTCGATCCCTGGTACCAAAAAAAAGAAAAAAAAAAAATTACAGTATTAACCCAGCCATGGTGACAAAAGCCTGTGATCCCAGAACTCTGGGAGTTTGAGGCAGGAATATCACAAATTTGCAAGTTCAAGCCCACCCTGGACCATTTGTCGACTTAGGTATACCCAGTCTCAAAAGACAAGGGCTGGGGATGTAGCTCAGTGTGAAGGCCTTAGGTTCGATCTCTACTACTGAGATAGATGAGAAACACTGGACTTTCATTCTTCCAGCACCTGCTGGAGGGAAGGGTGTAGCTTGACCAGCGGCTGTCTGGTCCTCCCGTTTGAACCCCAATAGACTGGGACATTTGGCATCAGTGCCCTCACAGGCTGTCAGACCCTGTTCTCCACTCCCTTTCCCCACTCCTGCGGCTTCAGACAGTACCTTTGCCTTTTTTTTTTTTTTTTT